AAATCCAAAAATTCTAATATCTAAGACAGAGCTGAAAGAAAGAACACCTGAAGAAAAAAAATACAAGAACATTTCTCAATCAAAAAAAAAAAAAATTCTTCAATTTTGAGCTTGATAAGGCCACCAAAGGCTGAGAAGGACAAATTTTTAAAAGACCCAAATAAACAGATAACACTGAAATTTCATAATATCACACAGAACAAGCAAATCCTAAAAGCTTTAAGTAAGTATCTAGACAGAACAAAAATCACCCTAGCACTGAGGTCCTTGGTAGTACCACTATATAAGAGGATATCAGGGTTATGCTTTCAAAGGTCTACATGGATATAAAATTTTATGTTCAGCTAAAATGTCAGCCAAGCATGCAAAGAGTCAGAAAATATATGCATCCTTCTGAGAATAAATACCTTAAAAAATAATCTGACAAAAATGAAGAGGAGGGCAGTGCCTTGGCTCAAAAGGGTAGGGCACTGGCCCCATATACCAGAGGTGGTGTGTTCAAACCCAGCCCTGGCCAAAAAAAAAAAGACATGGGATTCTAGAAACTGTGGAACACGTTCAGGAGTCCTATGAAAAAAAAACTTAGGTCTTAAGTTTAGAAAGCAACTGGTCCAAATCCATACCATAAGCCAAAGAGACAGAGGAAAAATGTCTTCTGCCCATTATACAAACATCTGACAAAGAACACAGACTTTTTTAATAAGAAGAGGTAAAAAGAAAGGTAATTAGAAATTCCAGGGCGGGAAATTGTTCAGACAGTCCATGACTTAAATATTCAACAGATCGAAATGGAGCATAATTTGGATAATTAATGGACTATACAGAAAAGTAATCAATTTGACTTTGATATTTAAAATACTCTTTTTTTTTGACAGATACAGGTTGAATGTCATACCATTTTCATGTCTTTTTTTTTATTAAATCATAACAGTGTACATTAATACTACCATGGGGTACAGTGTATTGTTTCTATATACAATTTGAAGTACTTTCATCCAACTGGTTAACAGAGCCCTCATGTCTTTTTCTTAGTTATTGTGTTAAGACATTTATATTCTACATTTAGAGAGATTCACATGTACCTTTATAGGATGAACCATAGGCGTGATCCCACCAATCACCTTCCCTCCACCCATCCTCCCCCTTTCTCCTCCCCTGCCTCTCCCCTCTCCCCATGTTCCTTGGCTAAAATTGGTTATAGCTTTCCTATGAAAGCTATAAATTAGTTTCATAGTAGGGCTGAGTACATTGGATACTTTTTCTTCCATTCTTGGGATACTTTGCTAAGAAGAATATTTTCATCTCTTAATGGGTCCAAAAATACTACAAGTTCCCTAGGAAATACTTACATAGTTATAAAGTTATAAACACCACTTAACGGTTTTCCAATTTCAAAAGTCAAAATTCAAGGTATCTTATAGTATAATAAAGGGACTGTGAAATCATAATTATCTGGAAAGTTTATTTTAAACATTATTTTAAACCTGGGCCTTCAAAAAAATATATGGAATCTAGAGATTCAATAGATCAGATGCAAGTCCTAGAGATCTGCATTTTAATAAATTCTTCCAAGTACAACTTGTACACACTAAATCTTAAGAATCACAGCTATAAAGCAGTGATCTCCAAAATTCTTCCTTATACTTTTTAACAAAAGATTTTTGTGTGTCTATCTCTAATATACAGAATCTATGTTTATTCATAAATTATATATATTTATATTTTTATATTATAGATAGGAAAAACAAATTATAAGGGATAAGGACAGTGACAATAATATTTTAATATTTCCTTTAACTCAACCAAGACAAAAGTAAAAATTAAGGATAGGTTAGAAAGTTGAGAAAAAGAAGGGGAAGATAAAAAAAGAACCACAGAAATGACAAAGTCCCAAGACTTCTCTAGAAGGCTTATGCTGCTAAAAACAAAGACAGTCTGAGGGATCAAATTTCATCTCATGGATGACTGAGGAAGTAACAAGGGCACTTCAACAAAAGACTTACTTAAAAAAAAAAAAAAGACTTAATTTTGTTCATCAAAAAAAAAAGATTGATGAATCAGACATACAAACCACACGAAACTGATTACACTATTTTAAGTGTTCACAATAACCAAAGATGGCAAAATTAGACATTATCAGGCATGTATCAAAGATTTTTAACATGTAAAATTACAGATAGTATTGGAATAACCCCAGGGCTAGTAATTCCAAAGGTAAAAATAATTTAAGTAATCAAAAGCAATATTCAGATTATATGATCATGATTCTAATTTTTTAAAAAGGAAAAGGTATCCATATGCTTAGCTTCTCGTTTAGGAATATAATGAAATCTTTTTAATAGGAAAGCAAGTGTTTAATTGCTGTGCTCAGTGTCATGGGACTACTCCATACCAAATGTTTGATAAGGAATACCCAGCATCACTCCACTGTTTCTAATGGCCAAGGAGAGACCCAATAATCCATAGTTAAATGACTGGGCATCCCCAACAGGGTAATACGGAGTACTAAGTGAAATTTTTGCAACCTATTCCAGAACACTTATTGTACTCTGGCAAGGTCGTCTCGGGCTTTCAAGTACACACTACAATTACCTTAGGGGAAAACTAAGTCATGTCTAGGAAGTTCCCTACAGGGGCAGCCTATGGAGGAAAAAGTCAAACAACAGGAACTTTACTAATGTTTAAAGTTGAAGTATAGCACTTGAAAACACACACACACAAGTCTAAGCCATAGTTTTATCTCTTACCTGCAAACTACCATATACATCATAATATGAGCAGGAGACAGTCTACCTGTACTTTGTGAACTGGCACTGTAACTGCAAAGCCAGTTCCAAAAGGTTCAACTTTGTCAATAACAGAATGGTAAGTTGTTTTTCCGTTACAGTGAATCCCTGGGTGGCAAGTCACAAAACTCGAGTATGCACAGATGAACCAAGCATGCCCAATTAGTGACCTCAGAGGCAGTGGGAACAAAAAACTCAACCACACTGTAAACCTAAGAACCTGAACTGAGGAGCATGGACCAGATTAAGGAGCAAGGAGTGCCCCGTTTTGTTGCTAAGCAAACTAAGAGCGTCTCTCTTTGTATGGCCCAATCACATCATGCCTTGTTGCATTTTCCTAGTTGCCTATAAAACCTCTCTGCCTATAAAACCTCCTTGAGACCCTGCTCAAGGAGACAGATTTGAGCATTGCCTCCTGTCTCTTTTCCTGTAGACTTTATTCAATAAAGCTTTTTCTTTTCTTATAATCTGGTGGCATAGTATTGGCTTCCATGTATATGAGGATGCAAGTCCATTGCTTAGTAACAGTACCCCTTGTAATAAAACACAAAACTGTAACATTCTACTCCAATTCATGTGGAAATCAAATGAATCTCTTTGAGGCATTAATGACAAGTTTTAAATTTATTCTGAAAAGAAACAAGTTCAACAAACCAAACTCATGAAAAAATAATCTGGTAACTCACCTTTCCACAACCAAACTGACTGCATGTGTGAGATCTGGGTTTGCCACCTGGAGACGCTTCCACAAAGACCATACAAATTCTTTATCAGCCTTAAAGAAATAAAAGATATTTTAAATGCACTCCTTTGTAGTAGTATCAGAGAAGAAAGGACACTGCATTAAACTAAAAAATGAAAAATAACATAATTACTTGATCCCTAGTTCCGTAACTATACCAACAGATTCTTTTTAAAAAGTATGGCAGGAAAGCTTTATCTTATTTAAAAAGTTCTTACACCGTAACCCACATTGACTTTTACTATTTCCATCACCCATGTTTTGGGATGCAAATGTTGAAATGCTGAAATCTTCCCTAAAAGGAAATTGCCCTTTAGATAATGCTCATGAAAAATGTTTCATCTCCCCTTTTCAGTAAAACTCCTTTAAAGAGTTGGCTAGAATCACTGCATAACCTCAGCTCCCATTCACTCCACAATGTTCTCAACTAAGACTTCCCTCACCACTATTATGCTAAAATCATTTTTCTTTTTTTTTCTTTATTAAATGATAGTTGTATACATTAATGCAAACATGGGGTACTGTGTAGTGTTTTCATATACAATGTGAAATACTTTCATCAAGCTGGTTAACATAGACTTCATGTCATTTACTTAGTCATTGTGTCAGCTAAAATCATTTTTCATGGTCCTCTACACTGTCAAACTAAAGGACAACGGACAGCTTCAGTCCTTACTGCCTGGGTTAGTCATTAACCATTAAAAAATAGTGATGTCTAGAGATTCTGATTAATTGGTCTCAGGTAAGATCCAACCATCAGGATCTACACACTCAGGGTTGTGAATCACTTCAATAGGTGATGTGACCTCCTATCAGTCCCATGATTTTACACACCAACTCTATGCTGAGACTCCAACATTTCTATCTATAGATATAAGGCTCAACTGTTTATTCAACAATTCCACTTGAAGGCCTAATAGGCATTTTAAATTTAACTTGTCCAAAATGAAATTCTTGATTCCTTACCCTCTCACAAATCTGCCCTTCTGTATTTCAAAAAATGACACCACCATCTACTCATTTGTTCAAAGACCTAATGCATAAAAGTCAATCATGGTTGCTCTTTTTTCCTTACACTTCATATCCAAATCACCAGAACTCTTCACAGGGTTCCCATCGAGTAATGAAAATAATCCAAACTGTTTACCAAGACTACAAGACTCCATGGCCCCATACACCTCCCCAACCTCATCTATCATCACTCTCTTGCTCACACTTATTTTCTTGCTCTACTTGAACCAGGGCCTTTGCACATACTACATCATCCATCAGATATTCACGCAGATTATTCCCTCACATCATTCAGGTCATTGCACAAATAACACTGCCTATATTTATAATAGCCACCAAAATTCATAAGTCCCTGATAACCCCTCGTCCTGTTTTATTTTCCCACAACACATTTAATAATCCTCTATTTGCTTAGTTATTTGGGTTTACTTGTATGACAGATACCTCAATCTGTGTCTGTCTCACTATCCATTGTCTTTCTTTATGTTGCAAAGAAACCATTTTGGCTTTGTGTTGGCCTTTCTTTCCTAATGGGCTATGTGACTTAAGTTCTGCCAATGATATGTAAGAAGCGTTGTTGTAAATTTATAGGAATTCTTAAACTTATGTCTAAAAATGTGTCAGAAATATTCTTCCAGTGTTCCATTTATTTAACTTTATTTATGATGGCAAATTTCTTGGGAAAAAGTTATTAATTTTATAAACTCAAATTTATCCACCTTTTCTAATATGGCTTAGTAATTTTATGGACCAGTTAGAATTTTATGTACTAGCCTTCTCTACTCTCTGAAATTAGAACTACTTTTACCTGTTCTTTCTTTTAGAATTGTTGGCTTTTGGCTCGGCGTCTATAGCTCAACCGGCTAAAGCGCCAGCCTCGTACACCTAAGGTGGCGGGTTCGAATCCC